TTGTTTATTGCAATACATTGCGTATATAAAGCTTCTATAAGTCCAGTGATAATAAATGAATTATATATTCCGTAATTTTTTTTTAGTAATAATAATATAGTAATAGTAATTCGGTAATAGTCTTCTAACTAATATAATTTAATGAACAGTATTTAATCGAAATATTCATCATGTTCTGTTTCAAAATTAAGATTATTTAATTTAAAAACTTTATACAAATGAAGCTAATTTAAAGAAATAAGTCATAAAAAGAAATCCATGTTCAAAATTTTAGAAAAGATTTTAGATAAGAAGAGTGACATAAATCAACAAGAACATAAATAGTAAACGTACTTGATGATTTTCGCTGATAATTTTCGTGCAATAGTCTCTTCTAAATGGGTTGGATGATTTTCGTATTACTTGCATAATTTTCAATTGCAATCACACATAGACAATTACTAAAAAAATTAATTTACAAATCCAATTACACAAAAAATAAAAACAATCAGAATTCTAGTATGTAATATTAATTTTTACTACTATAAGTTTTTTTTACTATTATGCCAACGTTTATTTGTTGTATATTTATAATTTCTCATACTTTAACATTTTCTCGAATACCAAACGATATTATTGAAATTCATTTTTAATTTACATTAAAACAATAGATATGAACATTTGCAATATTGCATTTAAATGCATTATTTGTCTCTAAAATTGATTTAATAATCTTTGTATTTTCTCCCATTTAATCAATATATTTTCTCATAACATATAATTTATTATGTATTATCTTTTAATTTTCGCCTCTCTATGTGTATATATAATATAAAAGTATTATAAATAGAAACGTGCGAATGCGAGGCGCGTAATAAGAAAATATAATATACGCTGAACGAACGCGGACAGTAATTAGTGTCAAGAGTACGCTAATTACGAGGGAGGGGCAGACAGCCCCAAACTATCAAGTTCTTCGACACGAGAAGGAATGGATTCCAGGTCCACTGACACTAGAGGAAGGGAAGTCTTGAATCCCCACCTGCACGACCATTGTGTGTGCCACGAAGTGCGAACAATTTGTTTAATTTCATTGCCTTATATGTTTACTTAATTTTATATTGTCTGTAATTCGAATTTATTATAAAAGAAATATTTAATTATCTATTGGATTCTAATACTTTATGACTAATGTTTATAATAGAAGAGAAACATTCCAGCTACAAAAAGATAATATACTTAAATTAGATTAAATAATTTTAAAATGAGCGAGAAATTTAGAAGATCAACGACAAATGGAAAAATACACACAAATTGTAAAGTGTTTATAAACAAATATATTAAAAATATACGTACGTAGTGTTTCAATTCATTTTAAGAATTGAATTGCGACTTTAATTTTCATTGAATGACACGTGCAAGGCAAGAATTAATTAAATACGAGAAATTGTGTGAAATATTAATGAAAATAATATTGTCAAAGAATTAAAAGTAACGAAGACTAACGAAAGTAGAAAAAATTTTAAAAAATTTAAAAAAAAATATTAATGTATATTTTTGCAGAATTTTACATTAAAAAAATTAAATTAAAAATTATAATAAAACAAATTTTTTAAGCATAAAATGCATAGAAAAATGTTTCAAGTGAGCATTCGGATCGTTTTGATTTATGCTCATAATTGAATTTCGAAATGTATTAAATTAATAATTGGTAACGTATCAACGTAACTTGAAGTCATAGGAGTAAAAATAAAATCATTGAACACTCTTATAAAACTGGAATGTTGCCAATTACAGATGGATGCAATGCGCTTTTACAGTCTAGCTATTGTATCTAGCAGGTACTTAAATTCTATTACAGGTACTCGTATGACTAGAAGCGCATACTTAACACGTACACAAACGGAGAAATTCGCTGAAACAATGAAATACATATATATTGCCATCAAGTATGCCTACTATAATTTCCTAGTTATTCTTCTCTGCATAACCTAATGATAGAAACCTTTCTAAAATTTTCAATGTGTATCCGTTTTTACCTATTTTTCTCTTCCTTTATATAACTTTTAAAAGGGAGCGTGGCTTCGAACAACATAAAAATAATACCCGAGCAATAATCACAACTTCAGTTGCTAGTCATAAAATGTATAGGAAATGTTGATCGTCAACATTTGTATAAATGCACGGATAAAAAGATTCGTATTGATATACTCGATTTACCATAAAAAAAGGGTATTGGAAACAAACATATTCTCAACAGAATCGATTATTTATAATAAACTTCTTTTATAATTCTTGCCAAGATTTGCATAAAATTACTGTGTATATTTGTGTTAATTATATTATTACCCTTGAAAATAAACACAACTTAACTTACTATATTTATTAATTAATGAAAAAATCAATTAATAAAAAGATTTTTTTTTTGGGGAAGCGAACATGATCGAAACATTATAAAATAAAGTAATGAATCGCGAAAATAAAATATATTTTATTATTTAAATAAAGCTAAAATTAAAAGTATGCATACAAACTTTAATAATCATCAGGCATATTATATTATTGTAAGGAATAAATATTGACATAGCTAAACTGTCATGGTATCGTCCCATTTTGTTAATATGCGGCTTTAACATGCGTAGTAACTAAAATATAGAAAAATTCACGCTGAAACACTAATAATGTGTCGAGAATTCATTTGAATATATGTAATTAAAACTGCGCACAAATTTGAAGAATAATTCGAGCAGAAAGAAATCGTGTATTTAAAAAAATACTATATTTGTTATCAATTTCATTAAATTAATAAATAGTCGAAAAGTCTAAGATGAAATAACTAATATATATTATATATTACTGATCCATACTAAAGATCGCTGTACATTTCCGTAAAAGTGCTGACTTTACATTTCTTTTGAATTAAACAGTTAGAAGCTGATTATTGCAGTAATTCATAACACTTAAAATTTTTTTATAATATTTATTTCCATTATGCACATGTAAAAATAAAGAAAAAATTTCTAAACCACAACCATTAAAATATTTGCCAACAATTACAATTATTACTTGATCAATAAATAATACGTATAACATTATGGTTAAAATAATATTTAAAATTTGCTATAGTATATTTAAAAATCAGATTACTAATAGAAAATATTTTCTAAATAGGACGTACTATTCCTAGCACCATATTATTATTGAATCTGGGTAAAGTTCTTTACAGGTTAATATCGTTACACATTAATAATCCATTGTAACACATATTGATTAATTTATATATGTAAATTATTTAAAATGGTTGTATTTAAATTCAACTAGTATTATCTTGTATAAGAATATATATTTTATTGAATATCTATTTATAGTATTAAATTAAATAGACAAGAAGGTTTTTTTTATTAAATATGACTATACATTAATAAAAAATGTAATCGCTCATTTAATAGTTTCTCGCAAATTTTTACAAATGTTCAATTTTTATTTAATTGATGTAGCCATATCATTTACAATATTTACGCATACAATCTCAAGTAACAAAACTTTCTGCTCTATTTAAAATGATCTAATAGTTAAATTGACTAATAACAACATAATAATAAAAAATTACATACAATAATTAAAAATGCATTAAACAAAATTAATATATTCATTTGCACAATTATTAATATTCAATAATTTATTTTACTAATTTTATTAATTAACAATTGTAAAAAATGAATGTACAATTATAACAATCTGATGAAATTTGGACTTCATCAGTAACAATGTTAACAAATTCTGATGCCAGCATCAATTTAATCAATTAAAACACTGATGAACGCGTCTTATAACAGTCATTAAATCTAATTACAAAGTGAAATAATAATGTTAAAATAAAACATTTACTATTCACTATTATTAAAAGATCAAAAAATAAGCGAAATATATGTTAACAATGAATTAGCCCATTTGTAACTTTACATTTAAAAAATGTAAATACTTTTTTATTTTGTAGTACCAAAATGGATAATTTGAATAATAAAATGAATTACAATTTATAATTTAAAATAAAATAACGAAATTAAAAACAATTGTTAAAAATTAAAAAAAATAATATATTTTTTATGAAAATTAAAGTTTATCAAATGGTTTATCTTAGTTTATTATTAATATTAAATCTAACTGCTTTCAAATATTAATTACATATTTGCATTTTCGAAATAATTATAAAGTAAATTTACTTTTAAATATGATTAATTAGGAAATATGTATTGACTTTTGACAGCATATACAAATTTGATTGATTTTCTAATTGATTTTTATTTATTGATTTGTGTTTCTTTTCTTTTTTATTATTTAACATTTTTTCAAGCAGATTATCTGCGTATACGTAATTTCTTTATACCGTTGATTGTAATTAATTGCAATTACAATTTTCATATCTATACATAGATACTATACAATATAAAAAGTATATTTTCTGAAAAAATATAATTATATATAAATAGTTTCTTGTATGAAATAACGCTTAGAATATAATCCAGTAATAAGATATAAAATATATGAAGATAATTTGGTAGTATTTATGAAAAATATTATGTTATTGTACAAATATATTTAAATACATAATTGGATATATTTTGCTAAAATGCAAAATAACAGTATTCGTAATGGTATCCGTGTAAGATAAAACTAGCAATATATATTACCCAAATTATAAATTTTTCTTGAAATTCATTAACATAGATGAATGTATAAAAACATCGTTTTTATTTTTTAATTAGCCCTTTTCAAGAAATATATCATATTATTTATTATACCCATGTATAATCACGAAATAAGTGAAAATCAATTAACTACTATATTAAATTAAAAAAGAAAACATTGTTAAATACAATACATTTCTAATATACTACCATAGTTCTATTGCATATTGCTCCTAAGGTAGTAAATCTTAGCTTATAAACTAATGATACTATTGATTTTTATTTCCACTTTTCGATCTAATAAAGTTTCTTATTATTTTACTTTTACTTACTACTGCCATCACAATAAATTATTGTGCAAAGTCATCTAGGATCAAGAATTTTTTATAAAACTAGTAGTAGGCAGAGATGTTACAGATTGTGCTGCAATTTGCTCCATTGAATCTAATGAGAATGTTCCTGTAGGTGGAATAATGTTACTCGGAGAACCCGATACTCTCTCAATCGATAAAGTTTGTTGTGGCAATTGAGCATCAGTTTGAATACCCATAGAGCCATAAATTTCCTTCAACATCATTAGCATGGTGTCTTCCGATTGCCTATAAAAATATGTATTGTTGTTGTTTTTTTTTTTTTTACAAACAAAGTTAAAAAAAAGTTCTAACAACAAATAAAATATTCAGATTTAAAATTCTAATTAAAATTAGAGATGTATAATATTCAATTAATCCCTATTTACGTTGTTTCCGTAATGTTTAAAGAATTATTAAAATAAATTAAAAATGATGACAATTATTGTTTTAGTTCAGTCTACAGAAGAATTTTAATAAACTTGAATCAATTATTTGAACAATGAGACAGCCATATTTTAATTGCGATTCTCGTCGTTCTTTGCAACTATTTATTATTAGTAAGTGAGAAATTTATATTCTTGTATTATGAGACATATGTTAAAAGAATTCATATTATAAGATTTTAAATAAAATCGGCAGTTTTGGGTGTAAATTATATAACAAATATTAAATACAATAATTTTTTATAATGTATTAGACCATTAATTAAATTTATTATATACTAACCAATAACAGACGTGGCTCGTCAAAATGAAGAGATACTCATTAATATACTCAAAGGGTGCTTCTTGTAGCACATAATCAACCCTTCTACCTCCATTAAGTTTGCCAATTTTTAAATCAAATCCAGCATCATCAGTCGCTGTTGCTTCCACATTCTCGGATGGAGAATTAATCATTTGTTCCTCAACAACCTTTTCTATTTCTTCTTGCAGAGCTTTATTATCTTGTCGATTGAAAATACCCAACTGATAAACGGAGTTCCAAGTACTTTTCACGGATTCCAATAATTTTTGTTTTAGATCCGCTCCGACTCTTGCCATAGTTTCCTTCAGTTCTGAATAAATAATTATTATAATAATTTACACGATAATACCATATGAATGTTCAATTATCATTATAATGGCAATAATATTCGACAAAACATATTTATACATAATAATTAATGGCATTTATTTATGTTAATGTTTTTAAAATTATACAATAAAATATATATTTGAAGGACTTTCGAATATTTTTAACATTTATATATTTCTTTTAAAATTCTTAATAATGTTATATCGTTATACCTAAATGCATTCGTTTTCTCCCCTTATGGTGAGGAATTAGCATAGGTCTATATTTATATGCATCGGGATTTATAAGAGATTCGATGCGATAAGCCACAGGATCAAACGGATGGAAAATGTTGAAAAATGCCGGACATGTTGGAAGAACAAAGTCTTCACCAAGGGTATCAATACCTCGCACTGTTACAAACATTCCAATGGGACTTCCAAGAGCGAAAAAAGCACTTGGATTGAATACCAACTGTGGATAATTAATGTACGGCTGACCGGTGCCTGCAGTCCCCATTACATAGCTCACTTGTTTACTGAGTTTGCGTTTCAAAACTGGACCAATCGGAATGTCCTGAGAATTGATGACTTTATTCTGAAATAATAATTAACAATTACATACTCTAATGATAATGGTTAATAATTCAATATTAAATATAAGCTTTAGTAAAATATTTAGTTAAAAGTGGACTTTAAAATGGAATTTAAAATTAATTGGCACTTGAAATATCAATATACATATAAGATCTGGTCTTTAAAAATATTTTATAATTATAATAATTTATGATTTTCATTTTACTGATTTTACTCTCCTCAGCAGTCATTTCAGTTCTATATTATCGAAAAATTTGTCAATCATACGTGCTTTTATAATATAACTTTTATTTGAATGTTTTTAAAAAATTTCTAACACATACAGTATGCGCATAATTTAGATTTAATCATTTAATTTTAAATAAATTAAATTTAATGCATATAAATATTTGTATCTTAAAAGCTTGAAATCTTTTAATTAAGCAAACCAATCACTTACATCCGCATCCTTGTTATCTTCAGTCTTTCTGCTTATTTCTTCCGTTACGGGAGGTTTTTGATGACAAAGTAAATCAAACACAATTAAACTTCCTAACGAATGTCCTCCTAAATACACATTACCTTGAAAATTAGGATTTCTTTCATTGAATAGAGCGTAAAGTTGATTAAGTTGATTTCCAACGGTCTGCATTATAGTTTCACAATAAGTTGGACTCGTATAGAATAATATATCCAGAAGAGTATCATTAGTGAAATGACGCAGCTTGGGAATACTCCCGAGTGTGATAACCTGCAGTTTCTTATCGATACCAGAATGTAGAGCAGCATGCCAGGATATGGGCAATACCTCGATCCGATTTACAATTCCTCGCTCACTTGAGTTTCGGTAATGAGATTGCACTAACTGTAGCGATATGCTACGAAATTCATCTACTACAAAAACGATTTTTATATATTACAATGTTTTTCTTTTATATATTAGATTGTTCATTCATACATCATACATTAAAGAATTTGAAATTTAAGCCTTTTAAAAGAAGTTAATTATCAAATAAATATTTATATAGTGTATAATTACAGGACAACATTTATAACACGTAATTATATTATCATTAATATAAGAAGTCTAAGCATACATAATATTGTCTGATTTAACATGGATAAGAAATTTATCACACAAGTATATTATTTGAGAGATTATTGATTAGATTAAATATTAAACATTTTCAACTTCTTACATATGCATTGATTATTATTATAAAGTAAATTTATATATATATATATATATATATTCTCGAAGGCATATTAGATAACAATTTAATTTTTTGATTAATAGAAAGCGATGAATAATCATTGCAATACATTGAACTAAATGTTAATTAGATAGTAACTGTGATTATTATAAAGAGAAAGTTTTAACTTACCGACTTCCTCAACGGTGCGAAATTTAAGGTCACATACGGAGCCAATTCCGTGCACCAAAAAAAGGAGATGATCAACCTTCTCGGGCTCGCCATCATCTATATTAAACTCATCCATGCCACGTTTGACAACACGTGGTCTACTTGTTGCACCCTGCAAATACGCATTGTCCTCTGAACCCTGCTACATTTCAGGATTTCAAAAGAACCATGCGTGTTCATTGATTTTGATTATGAAGTGCCAAGAAAAAAAAAATAAAAGGTGGACTATTTGGAATAATTTGATTATGACCTTAATGATTAACAAAAATAATAATATGAATTACCGAATAATATGCAGTGGTCTATAAACTAATTAATTACAGTACATACACTACACTACTTATCCTTCTATAAAAGTTGATAAATATTTTAATGTTAAATAAAACATTAATAATAAATTTCATTAAGATTGATAATTTTATTATAATATATATATATATATATATATATATATATATATATATTATTATAATTTATTAATGATCATTATATTCTAGCTTTATCGTAAAATAATACATTAAAAAAATCACTAATTAAATAATAATGATTAAATAAGAATTGTAAATTTCTGTATATTAAACTTATATTATTCTGGTCAATGAACTATTATTTAGAATTTTATATTTTTAAATATATAAAAAAAAATACATGAAATTTAGAACGGTATTAAATGATAATTTCTAAAACAATAGTATTAATTTATGTATTTATTCGCTATTTATAGAGAATCAGAAATAATAAATAAATATATATTAACGAACAATAGTTTATAATAAATTTCATACACTCTAATTGTAATACTTTCATCTACAAAAATCATGCAACTTTACCAAATATCTGCTGCTTAAAGAAAGCTTACCGAATTATTTCCCCAAGACGCTGCAAGTTCTGGTGTCGTGGCTTGCAGATAATGCACTTGCACATTAGCGCTGTGAAAAACAATGTACTCGCCATTGTTAAGATCGACCCGCCTATTCCAGTTGTTACTTAAGCAGGCCTGTTTAAATTCTTCCTCTAATCTAGCGGCTATGCTTTCATCATAAGGGGTGTAACGAGATTCGGCTGGACCTTTATAGAACCAGGAGCAGCGACGTACTTCGGATACCGGACTGGACCAATACACAGAAGCACGTTGCCGTCTTGAAGTAACAATAACGGAAATTAGTTTTAACGAGAATGATCATTGCGACAACATAATTGCAAAATTCCTAATAATTTAGAAGAATAATTACGAAATATGCCTAAACGATCGAAGCGATTGATGAATTCATTTCATGTCTAATTGAAATTACCTTAAAATTTCTACATCGTATCGGCCTCCATCGGTAGCTACTTTTGTATCTGGACTGATCTCATTGGAATTGTGGACTTCTTCCAGATTTAGACTGTCGTGCATAGAAAATGGAAGCCATAATATTTTAGCTTCCACCTCACGGCAGAAAAACCAATGATGATATACCGCTCGGTACTGCATTTGTTTTTCCGTTAGACCTGACGCCTAAAACAATTATTATATAACACTAATTTAATATAAATTTTTATAAATACGCACATAAATGTATATATATATATATATATATATTATGTTATTATACTATCTCGTAAAATCTGAACTTATTAGGCATCTGAAAAATATTTTATCCTTTTTGAATAAACAATGCCGATGCCGTTTTAATTGGGTGAAATTTTAATTATTCTAGTTTTCGCGTTATTCATACAGTAGGTCAATTTGATATTTTATGATATTATTGATTTTATTCTGCAGTTAGCACAATTTATAATATGACAATAAAATTTAATGCAAAAAATTTTGGATTTATGAATTTTGTAAAAATATATTTTTAAAAATGAATAAAGAATTTTCCAATTATAAAAAACAAAGTTCTGTTTTTTATTACAATTCTGAAATACTCACTAAGTTTTGTAAACTTGGGGGAACAGTTTCGTAAGAGGCACGATTACTTAAAGGATTAACGGACATTTGTACAGGACTGAGAGTCGCCGATCCTGTAGGTTCAGGCACGGCATTGAAATTCTTTTGTGTCGATACTGGAAAATGACAATTTAAATTATTGTCGTTGTATGCCGTAGGATAAGAACCCGAAGTAATTGGTGGAAAAAAATGCGTAGAGTCTTCAAATTGCTTCGGATTAAAGAAAGTTGGTGCTAACTGTACTGGCGCTTCGTATACTGAATTTTGAATAGTCAAATTCTCCTAAAAATTAATGAAATACATTATATTTTATAAAATAAATCAAATTATATTGTGTTCCTTAAAAAAAAAAAAAAAAAAAAAAAATTATTAATAACTCAGAGTATTTAAATTTCAATATATTAATGAAATATTTATTTCATTATCTAGAAATTTATAAGTCGCAATTAAGAATAACTAATGAACGTTTGTGGATTAAATAATATTTTCAATATAAATGAAAAAATGAAATCATTCATTTTTACTTATCATTGAAATAATAATAGAAATTTTATCAACACAATTAGCTAAATGATAACTTCAATACAATATTCATACATCATTAACGAATATTTTGATAAAACTTTCATATTAATATAATTTTTTATAATTTTTTAGTGTTTTATTAGAATAATTTAAAAAAATAATTTATTTATTGCTTATATTCAAGTATTGAATTAATATATTATAATTTCAAAATGAAGCTTTTGTATGCACTTTATAGGAATAGATTTATTTGATCGTGATTCTATTTTTTAAATAAGTAATTTTTCTTAATTATAATTAATAATTTCTAATTTTTAATAAATATATATTAAATAAGTTCATATATCGATAGTTAACATTATAAATGATAATTTATTAAGAAAAAATGTGAAAAATTGATTGCAAAGAAAATGTTAATTGAAAACTTTAATAAAAGATTAATTTAATAATAAATAAAAAATTACTCCTTATAAAATTCTTTTCGATTACATTATTAAAAATTTATTTTCTAATGGTATATATTTAATTACAAAATATATTTATAAATATATAATAAGAGTATTGGTTACGGAATTGTTTATTACCTCTATTTGATCTGATTGCCATACGGATTTCGAAGATAAATCGGCATTTCCAGTATATTCTAACCCTTTAGATAATTCAACTTCTGAACTATTTATATTTTGATTTAAAATTTGTGTGCTGTCAATAAATTGTTCGGGCGAATTTATTATATCGTTTGGAAATTTTATTAAATCGGGTGTGGCTGACGATTGAGCAAATGAAAACGGATCTTTTACAGGCTCTTTAGTTTGAAATATCGAATTATAAAATGTTGGTACACTTTGATTATTAGTTGAAGAATTTTCGAAGAAATTTGTTGTTAATGGCGCCGCAAAAGCGTCTAAACTTTGTGGATTAATTAAATTTTCCGACAAAATATTAAAATTAACTTCACTATTTTGATGTAAACTATCCTTAATAAGACTATTATTTAAGTTAATTTCCGTGAATTCTTCAATAGATTTCTGATTTTCAATTATCTTTTCAGATGCTGATATATTTTCTGTTATTTTAGCAACTTCAGCTGATAATTCCGATTTTATAGATAAATTATCATCATTCTGTTCAGCGATAAAATTTTCAAGCTTCTCGGTAACCCTAGCAGCGGATACAGTAGTAAAGGTATTAATGGGATTTTTATTAGTTTCCTGTATGGCGTTTAATTGGCCACTAGATTGAATGATTGAGTTCTTTGATGTTTCATAAGGAATCTGCTGTTGTCTATAAGAATTGAAACCAGAAAAGGCAATGTCTGCTGGGGTGTTTTGAGGAGTCGCAGGTTCTGGATACCTTGCCGGTATAGCTTGAGGTGCTGTAGCGAATGTATTTGCTTGATAATTAGTAGATGCACTACTAATATTAAAATTAGGTGATGAGGCAGGATAAATATTCGAAGGAGTCACTACGGGACTATTTTTATAAGAACCATGCAGTACGTATTCCTGATTGTATAAAGTTTCAGCTAGATTCGGTGTCGAAGATGTGCTTTGTTGATCAACCTGAGAGTTGATTGGAGTAAGAGTTTGTGTATTTGGATTGAAAATAGTAGGAGGTATAGTAGAATCCGATTGATTCGGAAAAGACGGTAAAGAAACTGGCTGATAAGACGGCTTAGAGGAATTTAATATTTGCTCTGGGAGATGTGAATGTTTAAGACGACGTTGATTACCCAGTCGATATGACCCAGCAACCACTGAAATATGAAATTATTATTATTATTAAAAGTATTGCAATTAAATAGTATCATATAATTGTTATCATATCACAGAATTGTTAAACTAGTGCTACTATGTAAATAAAATCTTTTTCAGTTGAGTGAAATGCAACATTAATATATTATGATATTTAAGTTGGCGCAATAAATTTAATATTGGCTTTAAATTTGTATTTACATTCTCTATGGATTCTATTTTACATTTAGAAATTATATATTTGTTACTAATATATTCTGTTTAAAAATCGATTAAAAATTATAAAAAAATTTTTTTTTCTACATTATAAAAATTTATTAAAAATTAATGTACGAATATAATTCGACTGAACAAGTTATATTCAAAATAAATATATAAATTCTTCTATGGATAAAGTATTATTAATTTAAAATTTTGTCATTACCTCCACCAATTGCAATGGGTGGCGGCTGCAGTGGTTGTTGCGGCGGTTGTTGTTGATTTTGTATAATCGGTGAATTTGCCTTATTAGTATTGAAGTCACTTATTTGAGAGTAGTGACTATGATCACTATTATGCTCGTATACATTCGATGAAATTTCAGTAGATCGGGGAATCTGACCTTGCGCCGATCCATGTACAGGATTTAGCGGTGTAAATGCATTAGAGCTTTGATTTTGTTGTTTATTTTGTGGCGACTTTGAGTTTTCACCAGTTATCGATGAAAGCGAAAGATGTGGTAGAGACGATAATATAGATGTGAAATAACCTTGCTTTGATGTCTGCTGTTGTTGTTGTTCTTGTTGTTGTTGTTCTTGCTGTTGCGGTGGCAGTTGTTGTTGTTGCTGCTGCTGTTGCTGCTGAGTTATTAAATTCTGACCCGGTAATGAAGATGAACTGGATTGATAAGGAACATTATGCTCAGAAAATGTTGTCTTGAATAGTGAATGATTTTCGTTGCCAGTCTGATTTACTGTAAATAAAAGTAGGCATATAAATATCAACTTTAAAATAAAATAATACATATATATGAAATATTGATAACTATAAACAATGAAGAATATTAATTTAATTTTATTTTCTATATTTTTATAAAAAAAAATCGTTTTGTAAATTTTAATTTTTTTATTTAATAAGGTTTTCAGTAATTCAATATAAAAATGTTTGAAATTTATATATTAACTTTATGCGTACAGTTGAAACAAATTGATGGAGATAAAAAAAGAAAGATCATAGATACATTTATTTCATTCATAAATAAATATCAATTTATACACAGTTTGTGTTAAAATATCTATCTATTATAGTAAATAATATATTTAAATTAATTATATTTATGGAATGATATATAATATAAAAATTTTAAAATTTTGTAAACAATATATAAAATATATAAAGTTTATGAAAAATAATTTTATAATATATTTAAACTAAGATGCTGAAAAATAATATAAAAAAAATTACAAACATAATGAAAATTTGTGAATAAAACGGTATGTAAAATGTTATATAAAGTAAAACATTATGCTTATAATAAATTTTTATCGGCATTTAAAAATAATTTTGTTATATTACAAAAATTATTTACATTTTTTTTCAGCACATATGTCATCATGTATTAGCGATTTAAAAACACATCATTTTTCAATATTTAACAATATAATCAATAATATAAAAATTAGATTATATTTCAAGAATCAAATATATTTCCACGTTTAAGAATTTAATAATTGTTCATATGCCGAAAATATAACAAAACATTTGTAAACGAAAAGAATTAAGTATTAATTTCATAAGTTTTTGGTGCTCATTGCATTTCAAATATTAATCATAAATTAATTAACTATAAGATAAATCTATTAAATATTTATAATTTATATATGTTCATTATAATAAAGCAACAGTTGATAGATCTTTGGTAAACCAATTAGTGAATTATTATATACTATTATAGGAATAAGTCGATAATATTTAAGTTTTGATAATGGCTTATTTAATATTACCCGTCCCATTCATTTCTGTATCTTTTTATCTTATAAAATTGAAAATTTTCTCAGAAATTGCTTTCGTCGTGTATCGCAAAGTCATAGCTGATAATTCATGCAAAATCAATATTTAACAGGATACTACTTTTCTACAAAGATCTTAACGATTATAAGATAACGATTACAAGATGCTCAATGATAAATTTGTACATATAGTTCATATCTTATTTCCAAAAATGAGTCTTTAGATTTAGAAATATTTGTATTAGTACTTTATCGGTGATTTATAAAAATAAATTATGAAAGTCGCATTCTCATATTATTTCCAAAAATGATTACAAAGAATTATTTAGCCTATATTCATCCAAATTAAATAAATATGAGAATATATAATGTATTAATTAGTATTGATTAATGTATTTTCAACTTATGTATGTTCCCTTTGTTTAATAGGTGAATAATCACTAAGCGAAGATTATACATTTCCTTATATTTATGCGTATGTTAATAAAATTTATTTACATATTTTGTGTGTTTTACTGGTTACACTAAAAATTTAAAATATTGTTTTATGTAGTATGAATTGCTCTTCCCAAATCATTAGACTTCGATACTTACAAGATAAATAAAATCTCTCATTATATGCATTAAATGCAACGGCTTAAAAATTTTTTATTCTTTAAATAGTTAAAAAAAATTATAAAGTATTTAGTATTACTCATACACCTATCATGAAAACAATAGTCAAATTAAACACAAAAATTTAAACTTATCTCATTTCAAAATACATTTATTGAAAAGAGACAAAAAGCAAGTACAACAGGATGGGATAGGATTCATACTTGACACTTGAGTTCATACAGATTATGAGTAAAAACCCATCATTGTGTAATGGCACTTCTCTAGTGTCTACACCTCAGTTTATTCTTACGCAGTTTCGATAATAAATGACGTATGTTCCGTACCTTCCATGAAATAACGAGATTATAAATAAAAGGTTTAGTGGGCACTTTTTGTCAGTCGCTATCATTTACGAGTACGACAAATTAAACCATTATGGAATATAGAAATTCTACATACGTTTTATTAGTAAATATCGGAGTGTTTATTTTTATTATGAATTTTCATGGTGTTACATCAAAATATGATGTGCAGTTTTTAAATAATTACGTGACAGTTAATCCTATACAACTCTGGAGATTTTTAGATACAAAGGAAGAAGAGATTACTGAAAGATTTTCCGAAACTATTCAGGAATTAACCGTTGATAGAATTAAATGTTTGAGGTGAATTTTCTCTGTGATTCTTGGTTTAAAATAAAAGTGTACGTTACAATAAAATAGTATTTTTTTTCTAGATATTGTATTGGCAGTAACACAATGATGAATCAAAGGCCTCGTACTCTTGATTTAAATTGGAATTTGGAAGAAAAAAAGAGATTTGGTAATAATGTATAGATTTTTGACGGAATTGATAATATGTTGGTGATAGTAAATTGAATATTCTTTTAATTGAATTTGAGCTTGAAAAGCTATATAGTAACAATTCGTTTTTTAATTTAATTCAATTAAATAGCACAACAATTAAGTAGTAATTTATCAAATCAAATTTGATAAAAAATTAATAATTTAATTATCTCTTATAATTTAACCAATACTTCATGCAATTCAAATAATAATAAAATCAAAATTTTAAATTATAATGGCACGTCTAAGTATAAAATAACATTTAAAAGAAATCGTAAATATTAATAATATATTGAACGGAGCAGTAATTCAATAAATGATATTATTCTCAAAACAAATATTTTTGCAATTTCTATGTAAATTATTTGAACAACGTATGATCATTATACGGATTTTATATGTTATAATAAAATTAAAATATATAAAAATTAATGTACATTTTAATAATGATTTTTGAATAAATTTTAATTAATTAATATACACTTTTAAATTATACTCGTAAAATTAAAAAAAGTAATAGTAAAGTACGATTAAAATTATTAAGAGAATATTCATTTATATGTCTAGCAAATAATACTATTGTTGTATTACATATTTCACTTTCCAACGTGCGATCAAAATTTTCATAATCACTAAATGCATTAAATAGTCGTTGAATAAAATTTTATCAAAAAATTTCTTTATACTAGTAATTATTTTTCAGATTTTGTTCAATATTAAAAATAAAATAAACAAAACAATTTGTTTTAATTACCTATTTATTTGAATAATAATGTGACAATTTAAAAAAATTTCTATGATTTCCGTCATATTAACAATATTTTTTATTATACTTTTCTAATTTAATCTTTCTTCTAAAATAATATATTGGATTTGGTTATATTATAAAATTTGAAAGAATTTGCAGAGATTTTTTTTTTTTACAAATCCCAATATAAATATATTAATATTAAAATACTGAATATAAAATAATAATTATGGAGTAGTATAATAACATTCAATATTTGTAACATTAAAATTTACCGTGAAACATTTATAATAACAAGTCGAAGATCAAGGATAATATATTACATTGACGTATGCAAATAAACTATATCAGTATACACGATAGCCTTAAGAGCAATAAAAATTAGTTAGTGATTAACAAGATCCAACGGACGTACATGTATTAAAATTTTATTATTTATAGATATCGGGTCAACTTCGATCTTTGATAAAGAATCCAGTGAAATTCATCAAGGAAAATTGTTTAAATCAAATAATTCCCAGAATCTACAAAATGAATGTATGGTAATGATGCGTAAATACTATTTTTATGCTTAATGTCAGAGAAAATGCTACTCAAAAATATGAAGTCATATTAATGTAATAATCATAACATAAAAAATAATTAAAACACTGATGATTATTTATAATAACTGAATCAACCATGTAATTATATGTTCGGAAGTATTATCAAATATTTTTATTTTCAAATTAATCATGAATCCACACCACGATACCTGCATTAAAAGTTTCCATTAAAATCTTTAAAAATATCAATTTTCATAATCCTTTATATTACAATAATATTTTATATCAATAATGGTTGAAAAAATTTATCAAAGGATATTAATCCATTCAATTTTAATAATTTACAAACTAATAAAGGCATAATAGATACTTTATTAAAATTATTTATTTTAAAACATAATTTTTTTATAAAGATTTATAATTATTATATTACTTATAACCATAATGCTGCACCGATATAATCAGAAGTTTATATTTATACAAAATCTCTTAAACTGTTTAATTAGCAGAGGAGTGTCTATTTATTTTACGCAAGACCATAATACATTGTATACATATAATCTTATTCTAATAGAGAAATGTTTATTCTACAAGTATATTAATTGTTATTCATATTCAATATTTATTAATCTTACCGCTGATCACTGTGTTTCGTTTTAGTTTTCAATCATTGCTAAGTGCGAAATTCCGCATGGACTTGCAGATAATGTTAGTAATATAGAAAAAAACTTTATAAATAGCTTGCAGCCTAATTTCGATATTTTCAAAGACTCTGATGACAATGGTCGTTCATCACTAAACTATGTAAATGTAAGTAAGATACTTTATATACTTTTACTTACACGATGAGGAAACATTACTTAGAGGATGAAAAGAAAAATAATTGAAAAATGATCTATTTACATATATATATATATATATATATATATATATATATATATATATTAGGAAAAGCTTGTCGACAAAACTAACCTCATGAATGAAACTGAAATAGATTTTCATGTTCAACGACATCAGGTGGAAATAAATGCCGTTGTTCTTGGAAATATTTCCAAGATTGATTTGAAAATGCCTTTCGGTAAGTGAAAAGTATATATTAATATACATTGAAAAAAATAAAAATTAATCGAGAACATATCCAAATTTAACATAATCTATATTTAATATTTGTAATATATTTTATACTTATATTAATCAACGTTATTACGAAAGTTTATTATTATTATTATTATTATTATTATTATTATTATTATTATTATTATTATTATTATTATTATGAATTAAATAAGTAGGCCGCATTGCAAATATTACGTTTTGTAAAATATAATAATTGTTTGAGATTAACATCATCTGCTAATTATAAATATTTGAAAAGAAAGCCTGATAAAGGGGAAAATATTGACAATAAATTTTCAATTAAATATTACAAACAATACCTATGAATATTTCAAAATTCACAAAATCAACACAAGTCTATATAAATAAACTATAGTTTTAAAATATACTTATATCAATTTATAACGATTAAACAAAACAAAAAATTTCGTTTTTTTTCATTGAAATATAATTTTTGTACCCTTCCATAATCAAGATATATTTAATTTATTCATAAGTTTATATATAAAGCATATAATCATAATTAGTTCATTTAATAAATAAATGAAATTAAAGACATTACACGGGTAGCGTCTCAAATACAAGCATTACCTCAATTTATATTAATTACATATACGTAGAAAAGCATCTCATCGACCGCGACGCAAGTAGATAGTTTAAAAGTGTATCTTTAGTACAAATACATTAAGAAATAGAGCGAAGGCCATGTGTTACAACTAGAAACTTTTATTCAAGGTATTATGATGAATGTACCTGTGCATTATATATATATATATATATATATATATATATATATATATTAGCCTAAAATTAACGTCGCAAATATTAAACATAAAGGGAAGATTATGTTATATTATTTGTGTCATAGTATCTTAAAATACTATGAATGCTATGAATGTTATATAAACATTATAAAATATATCATTAAAATTACATTCATTTTTTAATTATTTAAAGTGATAATAATGAGTTTAGTTAGTAATTACAAATACTTCATTCAATTGTAATTGAGAAAATTAATTGCGTGTTTGAATTGTAATCGATAACTTTTAAAATATATACTCTAACTTTGTATGTAATATTAAACAAATAAGTGTATTACCAATAAGTAAATAAATGACTTAAATTTAACATTTGTTTGAATTTTATTATGAAAATCAACGTGAGAATTAAATATTATAATTTAAGCAATTGTATTAGTACAATAATACAATATGAAATTTAAATGAAGAATAAAAACCATGAATTTATTTTGTGATATTCATAAATGGAAACTTTGTAAAATGGAAAATTCCTACATTTTTTTTCTTTTCTTGGAATAGTTTATATTTTCTTTTCTTAACTATCTCTAGATTACACAATATTTGAAACATAAATATGTTACTGTGCTATCTTCAACACGTACCACGATAATTCAATAAAACATGCATGGGCGTACTTTTTGATATTGTTTGAATACATTTGCTTGTAATTCAAAGAAGAAATTTTATTGCAACAAACCTTTATATTACAAGTCTTTACAAACAAAACAAAAATACGTTATTACAATAAATACGATATATTACAGTTGAATTTATTTATATAATTAATAATAAATATATAATTATATTTACTTTTTAATGGTTTAGAATATTTTATCATCTATTTTCATATTTATTCGTATTAGTTAAAATGATTTAATAATATGACAGTCATTGTTTAGAATAGATTAAGTAAACAAATTCACAACGTACATTGTTTGTAATATGCACATCACTTATCATAATCATAATTTATTCTTCATTAAAAAAATTAATAATAACTTGAATTTAAGATAAATTGAGTTTGATTATTTCTAAATAATAGACCCGTAATTGTTTTTTTTTTTTTAATAATTTTACCAATCAAATATTGATCGCTATAAAAATTTTAATTCAAACGATATTATTTCTGTTTTCAAAACAATTTCAACTGTTATGTCTATTATTAAATTATTTATATTATTTTAACGTGTCTTGTGGATTATTTACATTCAGAAAATAAACTCAATACCTGATTCAAATAACAGCGACCCATATTTGAACGTGATTTTGCATTTTATCATTATTAATGTATGAAAAAGAAATTTTGTACCAGGTAAATACTCTAGACCAATATTGCACAATACACTGAATTAACCGGCTACACTTTACATCACCTATGTATTATTACATTTTTTCTTACTAAAGTTTCATCTTTTGGTTCAGCTACGACGCAAAAGCCACCACAACTGACACTTGCGACAACGCGCATGCCCGACGGAGTTTCTGGATTGCAATTAAAAGTTCTCAACCCTCCGTTCGGTGGGTGGCGTATTGGATTGTTTGGGGCAAGCAATGAGACTTACCGAGTTGTTGTGACATCATTTAAAAATGCTGAATTTTCTGAGTCGGAGCAACAAGATTACTTCAAGGGTGATGACATGTTTATGCATATTTTTTATAAATAATTCGTTATAACGTTTACGGTATAATTTTTTTTTTTTTTTTTTTTTTTTGTCGAACAAACATCTAATTGAATTTATGAATTATGTTATATTTAATTATATCGAAATGCCATTTATTCTTATTTTATTAAAAATATAACATCGAATTAGTTTAATTTAATTGAAGATACATAAACCCGTTGCGAATTAATCAAAGTCATGGAATTTATAGTTAGATGCCATTTATGTAATTTTAAAACAATAGAAGAGAACATTTTTTTTTTTAATGTCTATAAACGTCAAAATACACCATTTCAAAATCTTGTAAGTACTTGTAAGTTTATGCAATAAATTTGTGATTTAATGTAGTTTGTAGTATTAACCCTTCTGTTTAAAGACGAAAAATTGTTGTTTACTAAAGTATACTAAATTTATTAAATATATTCTTTAGTAAGGGAAATACTCAACAATTTTTTCAAAAAATCAATTCTGTTAGCGAAATATAAATTTATATTTTATATAAATCAAACGATCAAATAGCAAATATAATTATAATATATCAATATAATTTATAATATCACTTTAAAATAATATAATTCAAATAAATCATTTTTGTTATAATTTTTTAAAAAGTTCCATATAAACAAAAGATATTTAAAAATAGATATCACCTATTCCAAATAAGGTTACATTTTAAAGAAAATTTCTCTTAGTAAAATCTAAAATATTATTGTTATTATTTAGGATTTTAATAAGATAATTAATAAATAGTAAACTAAATAAACATATTATCATATATTTATCAATTGTATTACTTGCTACTAAAGAACATTTTATAAAACATTAATAAAAAGAGTTATATTTTCAAAAAGATAAATTAAATTATTTAAACTATTAAATAAAATAATACATTCAATATTTTTATTATATTTTATAATTTAAATTGTTGAATACGAAATAAAATTTTAGCAGAGAATTGAATTTTATTTATTGTCCTAATTTAAGATTTTAATAGCTATATATCTTAACATCTTTCTTGTCACGTGTTAAATAATGATTTCTACACAATTTTCACAAGACAAAAAGTCGGTAAAATAGAATAACGCAACACAACTCACTTTAACTCAATTTAACTCGCCGGAGACTAAAATAACGAATCATCCGTTACGCGTACACCAAACGAGCATACACTTGTAATGAATGTTGGATCACTCTTGCATGTAATTTTCTTTCCTGTATGACTTTTTTAACGTTGTTTAAACAAATTTTCGCGATTTGCCTTTCCGGATAGCACAAAGATCAACTAGTGACTGGTGAATCGTTGGGTTGTAGCCAGAAGCGCGAGATTTCATATTGTGCAATGTTACAGGCGAGAAGTTGCCCTTTGGCCAAGCGCATAATTGAGCTTTTAAACATTATATAGAGATTTGTTATTTGCGTAAATAAATAAGTAGGCACGTCTATATTTACGCGTAAGTAGATTAACAATTTATAGATAACTCATAGATTAAAAAAAGAAAAGAAAGAAAATTATTGATGATACATGAGTCATTGTTTTATACATTGAATAAAGCCTAATGCGCAACGACTTTATCAATCTATTTAAATATATTTTAAGCGATTTGTAACTGTCATACATAATATCTTTTATGTATACGGGTGTAAATAGATGGAAACATTAATATTATAAATGATAAGTGGTCAAATAATATTTTTTTTCAGTAAATAATTGTGATTTTAATAAATACAATTACACGATTAAAAAAATTCTCTAACACACACATACATATATGTACATATTATATATATTTCTATATATATATAATTATAAATATTTTTCAACAGGTAAAGATGTCAAAACAAATGATTTGCAGGTAAAATAATAAGCAATCGTAAAGAGTCATAATCAATCTATTCATAAGTTGAATTATTTAACTAACTCAACTATATTTTAGAAAGTAGACGACACAAATTTAATTTCTCAACAGATAGAATCCTTTAATAAAAATAACAAAAGAATCAATTGGTTTAATAACAGAATCATAAACCGCAAATTTGCATCCAAAAGATCAGATGAATATATATTAGATGATCAGGTAAATATTTTTATTAAATTTTATTTTATGTAAAAAGCATATAAAATTATCCATGTTATTAATTAAATTACAATAGTCCTTATTTATCCGAACTTATTCTATTACGAATTTTATATTGAAAAAAAATAGTGAAAAAAGAATCGTCTTAGATTAATAAAACTTAGAAAATCTATTTTAATAAATATTAAGGATTTATAATGTTATTTAATCAATATTTAATTTAGTCTAGAATTTCAAAAAATATCGATATGTAATAATATATTAAATAATCTTAAGTAATTATAAATGCTCTAATGGCTATTATAAATTAAATTGGATTCTATATAGAATTAAAAAATCTTTTAATGTTACTGCAAGACATGGGATGAAAACGCCATTTGCAAAGAAAGCTCCATTTTCATAATAATTAATTAATTCGTTAATTAAATGATATGATTATTTACTTACCATATAAATTAGAATTTTGCAATTATTAAATAAGATTTATTTAATTTTCACTTACGATTTGAAATTTAATTTAGTAAAATATAATTTTTCGAAAAATAACGATTAAATGTTTAAGAACGATCAATACTATTTAAAAATAATAAATGAATATTAATCAATAATACAATATATAATATTTTTATAGAAAAATGATTTGTTCAATATTTAATAAGAATATATTTTTTAATTTTTTTAATGGTATTATAATATATGTTTTATATTATATAGGAATTTTATTTATCTTTTTAACGTAATTTAATCATTAAATTAACTATTTGATTATTGATAATTTACATTTTATTGCAACTGTTATACTTAATTATAGATTGAACCAATATCATTTAAGTTTCCTGAAACAAATGATGATAAAATTATGAATATCAGTAATGGAACTATGCAATTCAATACAGCTCATACGGAAAACAGAATGATAGATAGAGGATCTTTTGAAATTGATGATTTGAACAGATCTTCCAATGACGAATTACCCATAAAGAAACACCTTATTATAGACATAAATCCGAATACAAATCTTATTGCTAGTCCAGGAACAAATCATTTAGTAACTTTTGATATAACAAATAATCATGTTTTGACAGTTAGACATTATTTTACACCACGGAGCTCTCCTTTAAGAATCGTAGCTACCATACCACCATATAGATTGTAAGTTGAATTTACTTATAAGAATAAAAATAAGAATAATCTATTTCAAAACTCTGTACGTAGTAAATATTGATAATTAAATGACGTACATTTTTACATTCATATAAATTAATTAACCCAAACTCTTTTGATTCAAATAAATTGGTTTTTCAAATAATTTCATTGAAATAAACGAAAAATAAAAACAAATTGTATACACATAAATATATACATATTTTTTTTTTAATTAAAATAAATTATAATAATGAATTATAAATTGTGATTTGTTTTGAATGTATTATACCTTAAGTTACATGTAAATGATACAAATCCTATACTAATGTAAGAATTAAAAACTATTCACAATAGTGTAGAAATAGGTCCAAGTCAAACAATCAGTGTGGTGGTGGTGGTTCAAATACCACCCACTATTACAGATTCTGTGTTGAATACAGTAACATTACAAGTTCAAGGCATAGAAAATCTAGAAAAATCTGCTGAACTTCATGTTAGAACATCAGGAAGTAGGGTAAATTAATTCTTGTATATTTAGAAATCTATATATGTAACAATCTAACATAATGTAATATAATTATATGGTTTATTGTAATTTAGTTATTTGATGATATGAGGCCAACGATATATTACTATTTTAATAATAATTGTGCAGGTAGAAATAGTGCAGAAAAGTGTTTAAAAAGTTACTGGAGTATGGATATTACAATTCAAGATTCCGATTCAGGTTACAGAGTTAATTTGTTTCATTTTACATTTTGTAAATAATTAGCATTTCGAAATCACAGAAGTATTTTTTCAACTTTTCAGGGTTAAAAAATGTTATGTCAGTTCCTAAAGGCATTTATCCACGATATCAATATGTCAGTGGTACTTCCAATCCTGTCCAATTTTATTATTCAAATAATTGTTGTAATCGTGCAGTAGAAATAACGGCTACAGATTTAGCAGGAAATGTCTTCTCAAAAAAAATTGATGTCAATGGTACGTACGTACAACTCATTTATTTGTTACTATTGTAGAGAAACAGGTAAAAAATTTACGAAATTATTTTTATAATAGCATATAATTTGCTTATTACTGACATATACAGAAAGATTAAAATTTATTTATGGATCAAGATGAGCATCCTATATGAAATAAGAGAAATTCATAAAAGAATTTGGGTAATTTTTAGAATATTTTGTAATTTAAATATGATTTTGTATATTAATCATTCAATTTTGAAAATTTTATAGAATATATTTATAATATTTACATAAGAAGATATATTATCTTATATGTAAAAACTATACTAAAATTTTAATAAGAAATTATGAAAGACTTTAGGGTAAAAAATCATTTCGTAAGGTAATTAAATTGCAAAATCTAATTAGATTTGTATCTACATAATAATGAAGAATATTTATACTTCATTTAAAATTATAATTTTGTAATTGAAATAACTATTATTCAATGCTTCTATTCAATTTAGAAAATGTATTAATTCTACAATCCTAAGATACTTAAATTATAAATCTGATAACAAAAATATATAAATAATTGTGGAATTATAATGGTTTTTTTCTAAATTTGCACATGATATTCCTTAAATCTTAGAAATTATCTACGTTTGTTAAGGTACTCATTTAATTTAAAATACTGTAGATACTAATTAGAATGCAATTATTTTAAAAGTAAATAGTTTTAAAATTATAACTTAATTATTAAAAATAACTTCATTTCTCGACATAATATCTAATAAATAATTTTCACTTTTAGAATGGAACAATCTTATGGACGGTGAGATTGCAGCAATTACCGTGGGAGTATTGTTTGTCATTCTATTAACTATTTTACTTATTTTATTAATTTTATATTGTTCTTATCAAAGAAAAAGTCACGATTTAACATACAGTCAACGCTATGGATCAAGAACTGCACCACGTAGCGAATAAAATAAAATTATACAAAAATATATTTCGCTTATGTATTCTTTATTTGGTATGAATTATGAAAAATAAGTTTGTTACATTTTTAGAATATTGATAATTTTGAAAATAATTTTATATATCACTCATGAATTATTTAATACTGTATAATATGTATTAATCAAGATTCAATCTTATTCATATAATCTGTAGGTATGTTATACATTTTATTAAAATATTGAAATTACTCAAAAACCATAATATATAATAGATATTAGTATGTATATAAAAAAATTAATTAAATAATTATATTTAGTACGAATAATAAATTCATTTATTAAAAAAATATTCAATCTCTATTACATACATAAGGGAGAATTATACTACTGAAAATAAGTAAACATTTTTGATGCGATAAAAACCTTTTTTCTATATAAGTAGTAATTAGTATCATGATTGTATTTTTTTAATAATTGGCTTATATTTATATTAGTTCTAATAAAAATTTTGATTACTTTCTTTTATTAATAGATTAAAATTACTTAAAAAAGATATATTCATCAAACAATAGCATCTGATGATGAAAACAGAAAGTATCAAATTTAAAATTCATCCATTTTCCACTTTTTCCAAGAAGTTCACATTTATTAGACATTATTAATATTTTATTATATTTAATATTTATAGTTATTTTATATAATAATAATACAATAATATAATAATAATATTTTATACAATATACAATAAAATAAGAAATTTTGTTGGTTTAAGTTGTATCATAATATAAAGAAGTTTATATTCAATTATTTGCAATTTTAATAAATTGTTAATTTATATAACCTTGCCAATAATCTTTTTTTGACAATACATTTAATAAGATTCACATAATGCTGTAAGAAAATTGACAGTTTACTTTGGAACAAAATTGTAAAAGTTTCTAAAATAAAATTGAATATATTATTTAAGTTTATTATAACGTTATTCCATTAAAAAAAAAATTAACAATTATCATAATATACAGTATTGCTGTAACAAACTATTTATTTCTAAAGTTATTATGAAAGATAAAATATAAATGTAATAGTATTAATATGTTGTTATTACTTATTATTTCACATTTGATTAATTTAATTATCCAATATATAAATATATTTTAACATGTAATTTACATGTTTTAAGAAAAACAATTAAATATTTCAACGTATAACTTTATCTTCTAAATCTGTGTATAGTAAGTTATACAAAAAAAGCAGGAAAATATTATATTTATTATAAACTGTAGAAATATGAATAGGTGTCGAACATATTTACTTAATCGTGATAAGAATTATCATGAACTTCCGTATGGTAATATTTTGTCAAGCATCTACGAAATTTCGAAGCCCAAGAATTCATAAATTTTTAGGTTAATATCAAAGCCTAATAAAAAAAGAAAAATGCAAACTAATTTGATATATATTAATACTTACCCTCTTGAAATACGGCAGGAGTTTCGGGTGTGACAGGCATAAGTACGACATTCTTGGTATAGTCATCAAAAGGAAAATTTTCTCCCGCAACAGAAAGTAAAGGATTTCTTAATTTGTTCCTTGCAACTAAGGAACTATCATCCGGATGGGGTTGCATCACGTCAATATGCTGTAATTGTTTATTTACATGAAGCATTGCACTACTAACCAAGATGCAGCCATTACACGACTATTCTTACGCGTGAAATCATACATAACTGAAAGCTGAAAGATAAAGAGACATGAATTCTACGTGGACAAGACGTGACATAAATCTGAACTCCTAGCCTTAAAGATAGACGATAACGCTTATATTTGACAACGAACGACCTTGTTCACATATGTACAGAATCGAGTTGTTTGATATCCAACATGAACACGTAAATTATAAATTTTATTATGTAAATATATATTACCTATATTCACATTATTAAACAATAGCATATATATAAAATAAGAAACAAAATATAGACTTTTGTGTTAATTGTGACCGTCAAAGTTACCTTCATAATTGCAAGTTGGAGGCGCAATAATTTAAAATATTTAGAAGTCGAGAAGATTCTTATCTGCATTATGACTTTATGTTCATATAAAGATTTAGGAAAATTTCATGAAAAATATATTGCTAAATAAAGCATAATACTACAATTATATTTAAATATATTTTTACAAAATACCTTTTAATCAATACATTGTGCTTTGTATTCGATTTATCATATTTTCATCAGAAAAAGTTTCATCGCATATATTTAATATATGTATTAAGTTATTTTTATTATTGTCTCAGTATAATTTCTAAATTAACATTACATTAGTGTTAAAAGAAAATAGTTATATATAAATTTTCAAAAAAATAAAAAAATGTAAAATTTATTTTTAAATACGTTTGTACGGATTAAAAACAAGTTGAAAAGCGGAATACAAAAGTGGGAGAGTTATGAGCGCGCGATTCTGTTATTTAAAAAAACAATAGCCAACGAACCTTTGAGGCTATGCCCTATTGACGTCACGATTAATATCGTAATAGAAACAACACCGGTGTTTAAAGCCTAGCGCGATAATATTTATGGACTACGCTTCGTGTGCAGCAGTCAGTCTCTACCTCAGTCTAGTAACAATTGAACAGTCATTATAACAAGCGCACTATTCATCTTCAAGTTTCTTTCTACATTTATCACTCACTGTAGCGGTATACATACGTAGTAATCAACTAAGTAAACAATCTAACAAAGAAATAGTGACGCTATATTATCAAATCCGTTAACTAAACTTCAACTAATAACGCGCTAGTGCTAACATAAAACAAGACATAAAACATTGAAAACATCAAAATCATACTACACATATTAACGGATTACACCAACGCATAATGCAACAGCGGCGGCTCTAACGCATATTACATTAGCGCGGCTCTAACGCATACTACAATAGCATCGACTCCTCGTACCACGGAAAGGATATACACTCCTCAACACGTAACATAATAGAAGAAACTTCCTGTATTTTATTCAATCGCACCTTCATTCATTTACTTCATATACTTATGATGTACTCATAATTCATTTTACTTACATTACCTTACTTTAACATAACTTACATTACAACTTACATTAACATTAGAAAATAATAAGTTAGTAGTAGAGATTGAAAAGACTAGCAATGAACCATTCACTTGCAGACACACTGTTTGTTCCTGTAACTTCTCTTACTGTGAACCGACTATTATACCAGGTCACCCAAATAGCTGGATTATCACCGCTAGTCGGTCCAATTAATGGTTTAAGAGATTTTCAATAACAGCGGACGAAATAGATACTATGCTATTAGACAAAATATTTGACAGAGCAGGAATTCCTGTATTGGAGACGATACACCTGTTTAATCAATGTCACAATGAAATATTCAATACCAATTATAAATGCGAATGGGATAGGACAAAAAAAATCTAACAAGTCACCTTCATAAAGAGGAGTTCAATGTATTGCCAGTCATTGCATCAGAACCAAATGAAGAATATGCAGGCCAACAATTTGACTTTGCACAATGTTCTACATTTTTATTAATCGCAATCTACATATATTTGTATATTATAAAGGATAGTCGAAGATTATGTCCAATCTTTCCTATAATCAGATTACTAAGTGTAGATATTTAGAATGTAAATATATATAAATTATTTTTTTCTAAATTTTCTTAATAAATTTTCATAAAAATGTCGTAAATATACAAGAATTTAAATATAATAATCTGACTCAAAGAAATTTTAAATTTAACTCTATACTTTCTAATTAGGGAAATGAATCGATGGAAAATATATTAAAAATTGACAATTTATTTTTCATAGGAAATTTATGAATTTATATGTTATATTTTCTTATCTTCATAATAAATTATATTTAGTATGTTTTAAAAATATAAATGGTTATTTGTAAAATAATTTATTGAATATGTTACATTGCTATTATTAATACTAATTTATTACTGACTGTTATAATTTATTCAATTTTGTACAATATAAAATAACAATATTTACTTTGGTAATTTTATTTAAAAAATAATTCAATAGGTAGCATTGATATTTTGTGTTATTATACAGTACAATTATTGATACATAAAAATATATAATGGAATTTATAATAAAATACTTGTATTAATTGTTAGTCAACTAATAACAAGACTAGAAATATACAATTTGATAATTTAAATATTTCATTAGATTAGTAAAATGACAAAGTATTATATTTTAATATATGCATTCACTTTGCTTTTCCTTGCGCAGCAACAGATGCAATAGCTGCTTTCACAGTTTCCTCATCGCCAAGAAATTTCATAGAAATAACCGGTTTAAAATTTTCATCCAATTCGTAAACAAAAGGAATACCAGTCGGAAGATTAAGACCCATAATTTCATCATTACTTAATTCTGTGAAGAATGATTACATTTTACAGATAAATATATATCTTTAATATCTTTATTTTTTATATGAGTATAAAATAAACAATACTCACGGTCAAGATGCTTAACAATTCCTCTTAAACTATTTCCATGAGCCACGATAATAATATTTTTTCCTTCTTTCAATTGTGGAATAATAGTTCCATTCCAATATGGTAGGGTTCTATCAATGGTCAACTTCAACGATTCAAACTTTGGGAACTCCTCTGGTTTAGGCTCATCAGCATACCTTGCATCGTTTACTATCTCATTATAATACTTATGGTCAGCCTCCATTGGTGGTGGAGGTGTATCAAAAGATCGTCTCCAAATTTGTACTTGTTCTTCTCCATATTTTTTAGCGGTTTCAGTTTTGTTCATTCCTGTTAAATTACCGTAATGCCGTTCGTTCAAACGCCATGTCTTAGAAATAGAAATATTTTCCTGTTGAATCTCTTTCAAAATCTTTTGAAGAGTTGTTTGCGCTCTTGTTAGCATTGAAGTATGTGCAAGATCAAAAGTATAACCAGCTTGTTTTAATGCTTTTCCAGCTGCAACAGCTTCAGTTTCACCTAAATAATAAAAAATAAAACTTACAGCAATTATCATATATTCATATCATTCATAACAATGCGATACAAAAGGAAATTCAGTGATAAACGTTTAATGTATATAAAATAAATTAATTATTTTTCAATCAACTAATATCTCAACTGATTTTAAAAGCAAATTATTTATTATTTAAAATAATTTGACACGATCATTAACTTATGTTTCTTCATACAACATCAAAATATTGTTGCCGAAAATACGAAAAAATAAGACAAACACAATTTTTTAAATTAAGTATATTCAATGAAACATGACCTTTTAACCTTGAAACTCTACAAAGCACATTTAGGTTACTTAAAAAATCATTCGTTGGTTCTCACCTTTTTCTGATAAACCAGCATCATACCATCCACAGAATAAATTTAACTTATTCCATTCGCTTTCGCCATGGCGTACCATAACAATACGATATTTTGACATTTTTTTGCTTAATTATCAATCTTATTTGATTAACCGAATATATATTTGCCGGTTTAGCACATTGACTCTGTGAAGTTATTACAGTCAAGAACCGGCGTTTCACAAATGTATAAAATTGTAAGAGAAGCTCCAAATTTCATTGGTACTTACAAGAATTACAAGACACGAAAATAAATAATTAAATAGTTGAGAGTAGAACCAATAACTATTAATTGATATAACGTTCATAAGATTCGGATGAGTTGCACATCTAAATATAACTTGTAATTCAGCGTATTCGCACAAGGATTCAAAGTAATCCTTTAGAATTTAATTGTATGAATTCGTATGTCATGAAATATCTGTTAACATATAAACAATACTTATATAAATTAACCATATTTGCTTATCCGGGACTGTGAAAATTAAATATTAATCATCCGGCCAGTTACTACCGATTAATTCATAATGAATTGTTGATCAAAATTAATCCGATAAAATGATTCTAATTGACTTAAAACTCACTTCTTCTATAATTTCATTATCTACAATTTTAAATACAAAACATGAATAAAAAATGTATTTATAAGTAAATATTTCAATAAACATTAAATATAAACAAAAAATAATAGTATTATTCAAATATCCTACATGTTTCCTATAAATTTCGTGTATTGTAAATGTGTATTAAATTGTACATACTGAAATAATAGATTTCAATGTATATTTAATAAGCTAAAATATGCCACTTTTATCATCGCTTTATATGAATAAAATTTTATAAACTTTTATGTTTTTTACTAGGAAAAGTAGACTTTTATGAATACTTTGTACAAAAACTAATAGAAAAGGCAATTTTCAATGAAAGGTGTATTTTTAAATGAGAAACGACGTATATTGTTGATAAAATTAAACAATAAAAAAAGAAACATTCTTTTTCATGGCCATAGCAATTTATTAATATTCCGTTTCATAATAACAAGGTTTGTGGCTATGATATTCACCTACATATCACGTAAAGGTCTTATAATATTTTAAATCATCATACAATGAATTTTCACACCGAAATCGTTATATATGTAATTTTAATATATTACAATTGAGTAGTATTAAATTATTATTTTATAATAATTCATATATTATATACCTTAAATTAATTTTTTACGATATATAGTACATTTATTTTAAATACATGTATTATATTAATCATTTTATGTATACTAAATGAAATATATAAAGAAAACTTCATAATAATATTGTAGTAGTATCGAATTATGAAAATTTTGTGATTGAATAAATTAATTTACTCGTCCATTGAAATAAATAAAATTATTTATAAATATGTAAGTTAAGAACTGCGAAATTATTTCTAGTCATGCTGTTTCTGCTGACAAATACTTATGCTGATATTTATTTACATATATACAAGATCTGACATAACAGGGAATTTCATGATGACGTGTTTTATTTAAACTAGAACAAATTATGTCTATTTCATAAATTTTTCAGTCATTCTTTATAACTTTTATGGAATTAAGATAATAAAAAAATAGAAAATTGATATCGGACACCTGTAATCAAACTTTCATTAATAAATTTTTTTAATAAACTATATAGTTATATATTAAAAATTCGATGTAACATAATGTTTTAATTCATTACTATTAAAAATAAATTAAAATTAAATTATAAATGGCAGTCAATATTTAAAAATTAAAAAGTATTAATTTTTTTATATATAATTTGTATGTTTAGCGGCTGTTAAGATAAGATCAATTGGATCATTATATCGAAGTCCTGTATTTCTTGTCTATATTTAAACGAAGTGGTTCGTATTTAGTTGTAAGAATTGTAAATAAAGCCGAAATAGATTATTCCAGTGCCGGCCGGACAAAAAGAAATAATGTATTGTAGATCTTCAGAGAATGAAACCATTCAAAGTAAATAACAAAAAAAAAAACACTCAAAGAATTTCTGTCTTGTTGAATAGTTGAAAGTGAAATTTCCAAAAAAAAAAAACAGTTTATGGATCTCTTAAAATTCTACTTTGGCATAAAGTGTTTTGATTAATAGGTTATTTAGTCATTTGACGGCTATTTTATCCACTATTTAGTTATATTATTTGTAACTTCAATTAATTAATAGCTAAATGCATTTAATTGAGAAATGAATTATTTCTATCAAATATAAGTCTTAAAGAATCTCAATTAATTACACCAACTACATAATTTTTCTTCTTTATACACTACATAGGCTGCATAATTTTCCTTGTAGAAAATAGTTATGAATTTGTATTTTAAGATTGTAACACACCTTTTTAATATTTGTGAATATTATAGATGCCTAATACACCGTTTTAGAGAAGATTATTTGGATTGCTAAGCTTGAGAAACCTCTGACTGATTGATTTATTTATCCATTTATTATAATTTATAGTAACACAATTGTAACATGAAAGTTTTTATATTTATTTTGTATAGCATTTTGATGTAATCAATTATCACTGTAATTAACAATGTATATTAATTTAAAATTACCTAATTTGAAAATTATTATTATTCCCGGTCCAAAATAGATTTACGGAACACTAAAGGTATTCGTTACCTATAGTAGCGAAACGTATAACCTTACTGAAAATGTATTAATTTACAGAAACATAAGTTATTCATTGTAGTATTGGTTATAAAACTTGTTAGATGAATGTTGAATTTTGTTAATAGTGATCTAAATTATTTAAAAGTAAATTAAAAAAAAAAAACATGTGTATCAATTACCAAAAATAGCGTGTATAATGTAAATAAAAATATCGATATAATGTGAAAACGAAATTCAAATATAGTTTAGAACAATATGAATTTTTTTATTTAAATTCTTTAGAAGTATTTAATTTGATAATTTTTAATTTTAATTTTTGCTAAACTTAATGAAATTATGTTATTTAATTGAACACTTGTAAATTAGATAAATTGAATATATCTATACGAATATTTTGAATTGTGATTTAACTTCAGTAACACAGTATAAAAATTTAAATTACTTTGATTTTAAATTTAATATCGTTAAAATGATATAACGCTATAATATAACTTGCAAATGAATATTACAAAGTATTTTTTTAATATTTTATTTATTTAAAATATCATGGAATTAGAATGCAGTGAATCAAAACAAAATAGTTCAACCACAAAATATGAAAGTTCTTTTATAATTACATCGTCTAACTGGGAAATCAATAATAATAAGTGTTTTGATGACTGCATATCAACAGTATCCATTTTACAAGCACCAGATAGGTATTGATTTCAATATTATTTAATATATTTTTTCAAATTTATATGTTTAATAATGATTATTATAAAAAAATTATCAATTTTTTTTTAACATACTTTTAAATCTTATGTTTTGTTTATATTTAAATTATATTAAATGTTATATATATATATATATATATATATATATATATACATATATAATTTATTTTATAATTATGAAAATAATACCTTGTATCATTTAGTATTTGACTTTTGTTATTTAAATATATTTTTTAATTACATTGGCTTTGACTGCTGGTATTATCAAATATTAAATTAACATAGATATAATTAATTTTATTTAGAATAAGCCTTGAGGATATAGTGTCTTTAGATACTTGTGTGGCTTTAAAATCATGCTCTTCTGAAGAATCATGCAAATTAGAATTCAAAATTATAAATCAACAAAAAATAGCTAGAATAGCATTAGCTTCGGAAGCATCAGTTTTAGAATTTTTCAAACAATCTGGTGAATATGCAACCACTATTTTTGCTGAGTTCATTGATGAATTTCAAGATCATTCGGTATATTTAGCTGAAGCAGTCATTGAACCACCATCCACAGAAGCCAGCATAAAAGTAAATCCTAATAAAAAATACATTAAAAACTAATTTTGTAGTTTTTGAGTGAAACTATATTGGGAATACAATTTTTGTCACTCAAATATTACATAAGAAATAATTTAGAAGTACAATATTGAACTTATTGTTATTGTTACATTAAATTAAATAAACTAATTTCAGTTCACACGTAGAAAAAATAAAGGTACAACTATGTGGATCTATGGGATAAGACTTATTCTTACCGAATCAATATTAGATAGTTCCAAAAACATGTTTGATTTAGATGTAATAAATAATTTATTAATTAATACTAATCAACCAAATTATGACAAAATTGAGATGGCAAGGAAAGTTTTAGAATCTTATGCTTCTAGTGAAAATAATTCATACGAAGGTGATATGGCTAAACACCTGCAAAAAATAGCAACAATCAATCATAAAACTGACAATTTTCTAACGAACCATAAAAGTGCTGAAAACATTCAACAAAATATTATTAAAAAAATTGAAAGTACACAGCACAATAATGATTCTGCATCTCAAGATTATTTTGATTTAAAAACATACATAGATAATAAATTTTCTAGTTTGGAGAAAAAATTGACTGAACAAATTGAGCTTATGGATCAAAACACAAACAAAAAACTTGATAGAATTTCAAACTACTTAGAACTAATTATAAAGAGTAAATAATATAATAATTATATTTTATTTAAATATATAATTTTTAATAATTGAAAGGAGAAAATAAAAATAATTTTTTGCAAATTTCAACATATTTTGTAATTTTTTAAATATATAAAAATAGGCCCGTTGGATGTTATATAATTTGTTATAATAGATTAACTTTGCAATTTCCATGAAAAATATTTTAAAATGTGGAAATAATTTATTAGAAAAAATTAACAGATAGATTTCAATCTTATTAAATATCTTAAATCTATGCATAATTATTTTTTATATTAATATGCTAACATTTAGTAATTTCATCTTTTTTTTCTTCCTTTGGATCCCAAAAATGAAGTTGTTTACGCCATAATTTTACCATCCCATCCCAACCTCTTCTACTATACTTAGTATACATTGGAGGTGTTCTGGGATGATCTTTTGTTCGTTGATCCCTAAAATAAATATAGATTATAGTATTAGAGAGTCACAGAGTATCATAGAATTAAAAAGATTAATCTATATCTTTGATATAAAATTGAAATTAATACTGTGATTCTAATTAATATTCATATAATGAAATCTTTTTATTTCATTATATTTAAATATTTTATTTCTGCATAAAAAATTTATATCAAGAACTAATATCAATGAAGATCCGTAAGAGTATCAAGTCTTTTAAATACTGTAAAATTTATATTAAAATAATTATTTATAAAAGTATGCTTACATTATAATAATTTATTATACATAATTATCAATTTTAATATTGAGCATATTAACAATAATATAGTACAAAATCCAAAAAACTTAAAAAATATATTTCAAAATAATTCATAAATATATAAAATATATTTCTAAATTGAAAAAAACTACATGGTATTATTTTATTCAATAATAACGAGAATTGCCAAAGCTTTATTTAATAAGCATAATTTTAATTTATATGGTATCCTATCAAGAATATATTTTATGGTAATGTTAATAAAAGTATTATAATAATATTAGGTATTGACTGTTCTATAATTTTAAATGTAAATTTATATTTACTTCTTTGTTGATATCATATCAACTAAATAATAATTCCGTAAAGTTATTAAAAATATATATAACATAGATATCAATTATGTAAAATTTCAAATGAATTGAAAAGTTATAAATTAATTTAAAAAAAATTTTGTAATAATCCATAAATATGGTAAATAAAAATTGAATTTGTAATTTTAGGGTATAAAACTTTTGCCAAGATTTTAATATATAAATCAAGTTTAATCAATATACCTCTTTAATATGATATTTTTAATTCTTATACTTACTTTGGAATTTCTTGAGTATATTTATCATATCCTACAGTATTCTTTCCATAATCAATATCCTTTTGTCTACGAGCTAATATAGTAGGATCAGTCTCATATTCTAAACTCTTTTTACTATTACTAGACATTGTACTAGAGCTTGAATTGCTGTTAAGTCTATTTCTAGAAACTTTTAATTCCTCATCATTATCCTCTCCTTCTCTCACTCTTTTGCGCACAGGTGAAATATTTTCTGTATTATTTGTATCCATTACTCTTTCCATTTCTTTTGTAGTTATTTTACTTTGTGTACTTTTAAATTCTAGTTTTGAATTTGCATGGTCTTTTAATGACTTATTATTTTCAAATTTTCCATTACATATCGATAAGTCAATTTTTTCACCTGATGAAGATAAATCAATTTTCCCATTTGATGTAGATAAATCAGAAATAGTGGTATCTGAATCCATATCACACCATGGAATATTTGATTTTTGTTTTTCTTGTTTTTCATTTTTCTTCTGTTTAATATTCGAATCCTTTTTCAATATATCATTATCATCCTCATCATCATCAGTTTTTATTTCTAAATTTCTACTACAGCAAATAGCTTCATTCAATAGTGCATCCTCTTCATCATCTAAACACGCATAAGAATTTTTCTCTTCCTTAATCAAAATGGCCATAATTAGTTATATTTTAAACAAACAATAATTTTAATAAAGTGCTTATCTAATGCAATCAATTTGTATGACTTTCATCAAAGTAATAGAATTGTAGTTAGAATTTCAATTCATACATGAAGCTTTTATTGAAGTGATCAATAAGCCAGATAATGTCGTACTTTATATTAATTTTATTTAGGAAAAAATAAATCTATACATGGCGTCATAACCTATAATCACTCACTCTTCATACAAAAGACTAATTTTTATGCAAATATAACGCAATGGTTTAAAATTATTAATATTAATTAATCATTCGTTTATTTATATATCCAAGTGCATCTTAAGAAACGAAATCTCCATGCGTATGGATGACACTGTTAAAATTAAACAAATTTATTTGAAAACTACCTATACCACTCGTCTATATACTCTACCTCTACATATGTCGCGCGCTTTTGCATCAATTGAAGAGTAAACCGCGCCTTTTCTAATCTATACAATTTTCAGTTTAACAAGCATAAGAGATGAAGTATTTTATATATTAATGTAGCCGATAGAGTGGAAAATGTTGAATTAACTGATATGACTCTATGGTTTTAATATTTGATTACATTAATTAAGTTATTATCGATTAACATTTAAATAAAACATTTCAATAAGATTTTCTTAATCTATTCAAATAATAATCTGTTTCTGCGTCCTCTTCAGGTACAAATTAGAAACTGCGCTGGCTCAGAACGTAAACAAATTTCTTGATGAAGAAACAAATTGCTGTTTCATTTTTGTAAATAAACAATCACAATGGCAACAGGTGAATATTAAAATAATATTTATAATAAATAAGATTGTTAAGAAAATACCTAAGATGAACGTATATCATTACGTAAAATTAATCAGTAATTATTGACCATGTGATTTATTTTTTAAAGTAACCTTTCCAGCTCCATGCAAGTGTTTAATATTGACAATAAAATGTATATAATAAGATAATTGAATTAATCATAATTGCATTTTATATTACGCTTAAATGACAATATAATTTATATATATATTTTTTTTTAATATCAATTATCAATTAATATCAAATAATTGTTTTAATGCTTGTGAATGTTAAGAAATACTATTTAATATAATTAGGGTTACTGACAATATAAGATATTTTTTATTTAAAAATTCGTTTTTGACATCATATTAAACTTAGCATATAAATTAAAAATTTATATTATATTGAAGTTAAAATAAAATTTTCTTAATAACATGTTATTGTCATAATATTGATATATTGTGACTGAATTGTAAAGCCATTATTTTTCAAATATTGCTAATTAATTAATATGATCATATAATCATTAATTATATTAATTAAATGAGATTTGGTAATAATAGAAATATATATATATATATATAATATTTAAATTAATTTGAACTTATTGTTTTAGAATATAGGGAAAAAAAATTTTTTTTTCTTTTATTAAATAATAAATAATAAATTATTTACAATTTTCAGGCATAAGAATATTAATTATACTTTTTGCAATTCAAATTTCAGAAATTGAAAAAAGTCTTCTGGTAATAGTTTTGGATGTAAATCCCATGCAAAAGCTGGTCAAACAAGTTTTAACACAATGTTTAGATTCCACTATTGTTTTCTCGAATGCACATCTAATGCAAACATCGAATAATCATTTGGCAATAATGGCCTGTCACAGTCAAGGTGCTCAGTTTCTTTATCCTCAAGAAAAAATGCCGGAAGTGAGACAATTTGATGGCCAGTATGAAAAGTTTACGCAACTTGAACGAACTATTCGTCAACAAGTACATAAAATGATTGGTGAAATGTCTTTAGATAGAAAATGTAATGAAGAAAGTTTAATTTCTGGTGCCTTATCAATGGGCTTATGTTACATAGCCAGACAGGAGAGAGAAAAGTTTGCAGGTGAAAAATTACACTCCAGAATATTAGTTATTACCGCTAGTCATGATTCAGCCACACAATATATGAATTACATGAATATATTTTTCACTGCTCAGAAAATGGTTTGTATACAATATTTAAGAAATAAACTATCGAATGTTTAATTTACATTATGTTTATAAATTCTAATTATCGTTAATATTAAACGATAATTTATAGTAAAGAACTAATTGAATTTTTTACTGTGAAAATTATATATTGATTATTATTTATTTTATATTTTTATAGGGAATAATGTTGGATGTCTGTAGTTTAGATCATGAATTAACTCTTCTTCAACAAGGTTGTGATTTAACTGGTGGTAACTATCTTAAAATACCACAACAAAATGGACAACCACCATTAGCTGGATTACTTCAGTATTTATTGGTATTTATATTAAGATTAACATTAATGTTAGTACTTAGCATATCTACTTCTAAATTATGTATCTTTTTTAGTGGGTCTTTTTACCAGATCCTGTCGTAAGGTCAAAATTAGTATTACCACCACCTGTGAAAGTAGATTATCGTGCTGCATGTTTTTGTCATCAAGAATTGGTTGATACAGGTTTTGTTTGCTCAGTATGTCTCTCAAGTGAGTTTTTAGCGCATTAAGTAATTCTACATTTAATCGAGTAATTAAATGTCATATAAGAATGAATTTATAACTGTAACATTTAATTGCAATTTTTTCAGTTTTCTGCAAATTCAGTCCCATTTGCACTACTTGTCAGTAAGTATTCTTTCGCGAATTGATTAACGATTAATTAAATATAAAAATTTAACTATTTTCAAAAATAAAATTAATCAATTAAATTACGTTTGTTACAGTACGGTCTTCAAAAATCCTGCTCCAATTCCAATAAAGTTGAAAAAAAAAAAGAAAAACATGGATCTTGCACATTAAACCTGTTTTACGTTTTATATATTAGATAAATAAGTAAATTGTAAATTAGGAGAAATGCACATTTCAGTCACATAATTTTTGTTTATTAGTTTAAGATGTACATATAATACAGAAATTTATTGTATAAATAACAAAAATTATTATATAATTGATTGAATAAAATTATTTTTTATAATTTTTTTTAATTTTTTCATTGACGAAAATTTTCTACTCTAAATACTTGCCAATAGCAATATTATTGTAGCTGCATAAAAAAAAACAGTTGATATAAATAATTGAAAATTATTTAAAACAATATATAAGTATTTGATTTTAATGATAAATATTTTTATTCTATTTGATTTCATCATAATATTCTTTAATAATATAATAATAGATTTTTTTTTAACAAAAAAAAAAAAACAAAATGATATAATTATGAATAATATATATAAATAAATATTAAGCTAGACCATAAATTAATATTAATATACAAAAAATACTTTTTCAATTTGTTTAATTTGATTAATGTTAATTAATTTAATTTAATGTTAATTTAATCCTTTTCTCATTTTAGTATTTTATGTTAACTTTGTTTATACTTTAATATTTCGTCTTCGATATTCATCAATTCTATATCATTCATTGTGCATGTAAATTTTTCAAATATCTCATTAATTCATAAAATTCTATCAATACTTGTGAAAGTTTATAGAAGGAGTGAACAAGCACTTAATTAATCTCATTACTCTTCTAGATTTTATAATTTTATATATTTAGACACTCAATTATTTATATAAAAAAAAATTTTTAAGAATTAGATACCGTTTATAAATTACGTTACATTTATTAAAATTTCAATAAAATTTAAGAAATTTTATTATTCACTACAATATATATATAAGTATTGTTTTCCTCTTTGTTCAAAATGAAACAAATAGACTAAAATTTTGTATTTATTATAAATATGTAATTTTTATTAAATATATTACGAATATATGAACAATAACTATTGTTAATAATAAATGAGTAAAAAAATAATTTGAAGAATAAATATTTTAAAATTTATATATAAAGTTTACTAACTTATCATGTAAGAAATCAATCGAAGTTGAATTACGTTTCATGATTGAATTTCGACAGTTCATTAAAAAATTCTCATTTATAAATCATTATAAATGTTCTACTATGGTAAAATTGAATAGTAATTTAGGTAATAAATTATTTTTTATAAATTTATAAAGATTGATAAGCTTTTTTATAAATACTGTTGAACTTCATATGATATTCCTATACTCTGAATTATAAAAAAAATGTACGAACGTAAAAATTAAATTTAAATTTAATTAAATATGAATGGTATCGTTTTCAATTTCTAATATAATCTAAATATAAGATATAAATATATGATGTTATTAAAATGTAACCAGAAGTACTTTATTTATAATACTTAAAAGAAAGTAATAGAAATAAAATTTATAAAATATTAATGAATCTTTTAACTATAAAATCATAATACATTGAGAATCTCAATTAGTACATAGCATTAATATAAACATATAATTATTCAATTTATATACACAATAATATTAAAAAATATTAAGTTTCTAAAATACTATTTCAGATATTATTTATATGCTTCTTAAATATAATACAATTTATTAATAAGAACAATCTGTATAGTAATATAATCTGTGATAAAATTGACGGATTTAATAATAAAATACAATCGATAGAAAATCTTATATTAATAAGTAATCAAGTAAGCCAAAATATATATATACTTTTCCAAATTAATAACATTAATTAGTTTTTACATTATCTTTTTAATTTTACAGAATTCAGTATTTGAACAAAGTTTACAATACTCGAATCAAATATAAGAAATAATGAACGACTTAATTGATAGTTATTCACTCATAAGTCATATACATAAAATTTATCGTAACATATCCTATAATAAAAGAATAATCTCATTTATGTTTAAACAGTTTCAATGTCGGAAATAATATTTATTCTCTAAACAGATAGTCGATTATTTATTTAGGTTAAGGTATGTTATATTCTTAAAGTACTAAGCCACCCACTTAATTGAAAGGTGGAGATGTTGGAAAGGGCGTGCACACTGCTGCCCTATAAGTGCTTTCGTTGGCGAGAAGAAAATTGATCTGATAGGTATACGAACTCGAGAGAAGGGTTAAAACGATAGGAAGTAAGATCTTCAGGTTTCAGTAACATCGAAAATTCTGTTGGCTTGTTTCATTATCTCATGGATGAAAGTGTAAGTCTCTCTCTCTCTCTTTCTCACCGTCTCTCATTCCAAAAAATGGTTATAATCATGAAGTAATTTATTTGCAAGCGTATATTGAACAACTGATATGCATAACTATATATAATATCGAAGAATCTATGTGGATTATAAACAAATATTTTATATTACTTAATAATGTAATGATTCATATGCTTAAGAAATTATTTTATATTTGAGCAGGATTCAGCAAAAAACCGGAAAACGTATCCATCAATTCAATGAAATTTATAGATGATGTTATTTTGAGTATATACATATTATATTACACAATAAACATTATTGTTACAACTACTCATTAACAAAAAAACCACTACTTAGAATTGAATTTTACAAAAATATATAATTATTTTCAGAAACATAAAATATTAAAATAAGAATGTTTTCTTTTATATGTTAACAAAATACTGTAAAAAAGATAATTGTAGAACTTAAAGATTGTAATAATTGTATAATTTTATAATCAATGTATAATTTATATTTAGTTTTTATAATAATAAAACAAAAATTTTACTTTTTAGTCTTTCCTAATTACTGAATCCTTCTTTCTTAATTGAAAATTTCCTTGAAATTGCAGTTAAAAAATGAATGAATTTACGAAAATGTTATTTATGATTAATTTATTATTTGTTATTTATTTATCTTAATATCGCGATAAATTCTTTTAGAAATTTATTTCATAAATCTAATATGAGATGTAATCATCACTAAATTCGCTCAATTTCCTGCAAGATGAATTATACCCATGAACGTGATTGTTGCCGTCATTTCTATAAGAGATAGGAAAATAATTTACTGCGAACTACAAACCTTAGTCTTTGCTCAAACTTTGCCACTTTATCTTTATAACTAACGACCATGGCGACAATATACAAATATATTTTCCTTAACTTTTAGAAAGGTAACTTTGAAATTATAGATGCCTACTAATGGTTAATTATTTCCTAACTAAATTCAAACTTCTAAATACATTCAAACTGTAGATATCTGAATATATTGTTATAAAGTAAACGTACATAATCAAAATTATATATTTGTATAGCATTTATTAATGTTTATTAATTATGACGTTTACTTAGTAAAGGGCATGTTTTTTTATTGATAATGAGTCGGTAAAAAAAAACACTGAATTATAAAGATTAATAAAAATTTAAAATAACAAATCATAAAATAGTATTTATTATCTATTCTCTTAGTCTTATATATTCTCTTAGTCTTTTTAAAAAACACAAAATAAATAAATAATTAATAACGATGTTTAATTTATGCGTTATATTTAGAGTAATTAGCATTAAATATTATCATTAAATAATATAGGGTAATTAGTTAGATTAGTATTTGCTTCGGTTAAAAAACAATTAAATGAATTTGGTATGTCGGTATAATAGATAAATAATTCAATATTAAATTATAATTCCAAATTATATAGGCAATTGAGTTATGGACTATATTGATCTATGATTAAGGAAAAACTTTAGCGGTAATTTGCTAGTTAGACACAGAACTCCTACTTGAAACAGCATCGTTATGCTGGTCACTTAGTCCATGATGTAATAACCCTTTCCTATTGAACAGCGACCATAGCGAGTGTCTATCACTCTGGTGGAGTGGGACGTCAGTTGAATTACAAAGTAAAATACGTTAAATAGTGTTAACTTACTTAAACTCTAATGCGCAATATACAGAGTCGTTCTATCGTTTTCCATTGTACGACGACATTAATAGACAAGAGCGATTACAGCAACGGTCGTAGGGATATTTAATCGTATAAGATGCAGTATTTTTAAGAACCATAATCATCTTTAATTACTGCCGTTTTTATCTACCATTCATTTTATTTATCTAATGTACAAATTCTATTATATAGCTAAAAGGGAAGATGGCAAATGATCAGATAAGATTATCGGAAAATATTTAAATGATAGTTTGAATAACTGTTTTAATACCAAAATATTCAACGTCGTTCCGGGGGGATCATAAAATTTATAATTCTTTTCTTTGCGTATTACATTTAATCATATCAATTGTGCTTGAACAGAAGTATGTGCTCATTTCACTGCTTGCACTTGCAATAAAGGCCAACAGATAGTTGCTCCCTAATTAGTAAATTTCATAAGCGATGGGTATAGTATATTAGTTTATAGGCTGAATCCCCCGACCTTCCCAATATATAAGACGGATTGCATCTCTCACAGTCTCATTGATAACTTAATAGACTAGTAAAACATATAATCGATATCAAAAGATAACTTTCTTTTATGGAAGGTGGTTGCTAACTTCTTTATAACCGGGATAATATTATTATTAAAATTCAGTCATTTCTGTTTGAGTATTTTGCTTGATTTTATCTACTAATTTTTCAAAATGAAAAATTTTCCTTATCTTGGTTGCTGTGCTAATGTTATCAATAATATTTGTCATCATTATCGGGAGAAATCGTAGTTAAATGGAAAAGTAATAATATACGATTTTTAAAGAAGAATTTTAAAGAAATTTCGGAATGAGAAGCATTAGATTGTAAAATTACAATTTTATTGCAAACTTATATAAAATTAATTAATTACTTACATTTACAAAAAAAAAATTAGAAAATATATCACAAATTTTATATTAAAAATATGTAGTTACATATATATATTTGCACGTGCATTGTAATGATTGTAATGTACACATTTTTTTTTTTACATTAATTTTTTTACTTAACTTTAAAATAAAATTTCAAATAAAATTCACTTCATTTTAACTATTAAATTATTACTTAATTATAAAACTATTAATAAGACATTGGACATTTTTA